CCACCCCACTACCACCCACTCTGAGTCCAGCCCCAGCCCAGTGCCCCTCCACTGAAGAGGGGCTGGCACTACTCCTGGCTCCAAGCTCCGAGTGGGCAGCACGCCTCTGCCCAGCACACAAATCCAGGGGAACACATGCCCCCTCATGCCTCCCCCAGTAGTCTTCCTGAGGTCCTACATTTCCATGATTCTAATAAGGTAACAGACTAGGACTAGCAGCAGCATTTACACATATCACCTCTGCAAACCAAAAGGCTACATAGTAGGAGTGCACTGATAGAGATTTTTGGGGCCGATACCAATAGCTGATTTTTAAGGAGGCATATTGGCTGATACCAATCTGATTTCCAATACAGTTGTGTCCAGCTGGTAAGCCTGTTGTGGTGGAAGGGGAGAGAGGAGAAAAGGCGTGTGGGGGGTGCAGATCAATGGCCTCCGCAGTAAGGGAGGAAGTGGGACTGGGCCTGGCGCAGAGACTGCCCACCTGGGGCAGGGCAGGGTGCAGGACAGAGTCATGGTTCATCCAGGGAACATGGAAGGGGGTGGCTCCTGCTACTGCATGCACCCCGGGAAGGCACGGGGGGGTGGCCCTGGATCTGCACAGGGCACAGATGAGGTGGGCTGCAGGCTGGAGCCAGGGCTACACAGGGCTCTTCCCAGTGTGTGTGGTGGGGGCAGAGGCTGGGCCAGGGCTGCACGTGGGGCTGGCAGCAGCGATGGGAGGGGGCTGCAGTGACCCCAAATTTCACCATAGTCCCCCAGCCCCCCTTCCCAGTGCTGCCACCGCTGCCCGCCCCGAATGCAGCCCCAGCTGAGGCCCCCCCACCCCCCAATGCACCAAGAAGAACCCCATGCAGCCCCAGCCCACAGCCACAGCCCACCCCACTTGTGCTCCACACAAATCCGGAGGCACACCCCTGCTACCATGCCCTTGCAGAGTGCACGCAGCAGCATGAGCCACTCCCCCGGACAAGCAGGAGCTCTGCCCTATGCCCCGCCCCGCCCCAGCTGGGTAGCGCCTGTCCCAGCCTCACTCCCTTCCTCACTGCAGAGGGCATTGATTTGTCCCCTCATTCCCTCCCCACTCCCATTCCTCCACACCAGACTTACCACAACTCTCGATGCTACCCAGCTGTGCTCCTCGCTGCCTGCATGCTGCACTGCAGCTGTGGCTGCACGCACACATGGGCATTTATCAGATAAATTATTGGCCACATCAGGCCAATTTTGATACACTCAATTTTCTTTATATCGGTGCCGATCCAGTATTGGACCAATGAATCGGGGCACCTCTACTATACAGCAAATGTTCAAAAACCAGGAGTTACCTGATCCACCTACAAAAATCAAAGGAATAGCTTTAATTTTTTTTAATGAGTTGCTGCAATTCAAGCTTTCAGGATTTGCATTTTGCAACATTTCCTCCACAGTGACAGGACTTTTGAATGTACTTCAAAAAATAGTAAAGCTGAAAGTTTCACAAAATCCCATAATTCTAGGAATTCAAGCATTATCAGGAGGGAAAAAAAAGCAGATATAATAAGATTCATAATAAAACCAACTCTAATGGTAAAGACTCCATTTTTCAACTTGAAAAGTTTCACAGTCTGAGACACAATAAGTTCAGTATCCCCAGGGGGGACAAGAGATACATGGAGAACCTCAAAAGGGGTTCCAGCTGGACAGTTCAGGAGAAACAAAGTGGAGGCAGAGAAGAAAATCAGACTATATCAAATGCATCTGCTCAGCACCACCTTGTCATCACTTTCAGAGCTAAATCTAGGATTCACTTCTCTTCACAATTTTTCAATATTTAAAAAAATACACCTACTTTTTTTGAAAGTCTATAATCAAATCAAGTAATTCACTCTTAACTCCCAAAGAAAGGCTTTTGCTTATTAATTAAAGATTATAAAATACTCAGATTCAGTATAATGGTGATCTAGACAGACATCTGGGTTTAATCCTACCTTGCCAAGGCGCACACAGTAACAACCATCAGCAAAAATGATTAAGAAATAAGAATGGTTTTGTCTGCTTGTTTGTCATAACACCCCTTCCTGAGGTTCACATTTAGGATACATAGGGCACATCTACACATTGTCATGCAGTGATGTTGCTACAGAGCGTCTTTCACTACTTCCTTTTGTACACCATATCTCCTTAGTACTTTCTTTGGTAAGCCATACAGCACACAGTTAGATTTTACTGATGTCGCCATAGCAGCATACTATACCCAGGGAGTGCAAGGCTATGGCAACATAGCTGGCTCTCACATGTAGACATACATGATTGCTATGTCGTCGTTGTGTGACATGTAGATGAGCCCATAGAAGTTAAAGCTGAACTGATATCAATTGCATTAAACAACAGGAAAAAATGCTAACTTTTTTGCAAGAAGAGATTTTAAACATAGCAATTGAACATGAATGCCATACTACAAAACACAAAGTAGCATTTCTTACAATTTATGATATTCAAGTCTAAATAATATTACAAGAAAGTGTCTCTCTCTCTCTCACCTCCCCCCCACGTAACTAAGATAGAAAGCAGTCTCCCAATTAAACCCTGGCCAAATTGCTTCCCATTGAAACTGAATTTTCAATTAAATTTTTTCAGAAAAGTCATTTTGTTTCTGCAGTAAATGAAAAATGAATGGCCACAAACTGAAATATTTTGATTTGAAAATGGAGCCACAATACCTTATATCGCTGGCTTCCCTGTGTGTTTACATGTCCTGTAATGCAGCTGTGTTGGGGTTGACTGCCATTTTGGGAGACATTACATAATAATTTCTCATAATTTTCTGCTATGTTAAGTTGTATACAGTATAAGAACATTATTTTAGAAACTCCAATTTTATAGAACTCCAATCCAAAATATCTACATGACTCTCAGTCTGTTACTACTATTTCCACTTATTGTATACAACTTTTGTTTGTTCCCTGTGACACATGTAAAAGAGAAGTGTGTGCTAAAATAAGCACCATCTCTGACAGGATTATGACAAAAATAAGTTTTAGTCAGAATTTAGTTTGTAAATGCACATGCTTACACATACAAAAAGCATTTTCACGTGCAGATTACCATTTACATAACTATTAAACAAAAGTTTGGAGACAGAGCTTCAAAAGTTAGCCTTCTGGATACTTAAATACTATCTACATATAGTTTCTCTTGTAACAGAACTGTACACCATCATCATTCTCTGGAAGCAAAACCTTATACCATTCAAAAATTAACATATGGTCTGCAGAAATAGAGTGGCTGCTAATTAAAATAATATTTCTTTGATGTCAGCAAGATATTTCATAGTTTTCTTTTTATACATGATACTTTCTATAGGATCTCAGAAGTACCTAATCCTATCTGTGCCTCAATGGAAAATACATAGAGGGGAACAGAAAAGTGTATATATCACATTTCACAGGTCAGACTGTATAAAATATCTGAACTCCTTTTAGTTCTTATAAACTGGAACCACAGTGTGAGGGGATTTGTGTTTTTTGTTTAATAATAAAAAGCATTTCCCCCCACATCCTTATAAAATGTTACAAAGGAACAATCTTTCATGATAAAAAGCTTCCTATCAGTTAAGAAATAGTAATCCAAACTTGAGAGCTAAAAAGGGTATACTGAAAACCTTGGTTTGCAGAATACTCCCTCAATATTTCATAAGTAATGTTAGTCTTGCTAATTATACACATCTGGAGACAACAGTGTCCAAGCTTGATATAAGAACATCCACCTTCCAGCCCAATCATGAGAAAAAAAGCTAAAACCGAATTCATTATGGTAGCATACCGTAACTGCTGTTGCATACATTAAAATGCTTACCATTTAAACTGAAGGCAAATTAAGTACTCACAGCAATCATTTCAGCATAAATATTTATCTCGTATACAGAATACACACTTCTCTAACAACAAACAATTTTAAAAGTTGCGTTGAGCAAAACAAATCAAAATTACTTTGGCAAGTATATATTTAAGGAATCCTGTAATAAAGCCTGTCTTTAATGAACTCACTTACCTTTAAAAGCTGAGGTTTTATAATTATGTTGTATAGCAGCAACCACGTCCTTCCAAAAATCATATTTTTTCTGACCGTCTTGCTGTAAGAGTCAAAAGAACTCAATGAGTATGTCAAATATTAGTTGTTCCCGGTTTTTAACTGGAAGAATAATTTTGAAAGAGAAGATGAATAATCCTATAGATTGGAGCTGAGGGGTTCAGTACCCAACTTGGCCATGAACCTCCTGTCCTCTCAGACAAGTCATTTTCCAACCTCTGCAATTCCTTGAATTAGGAGCTCATGCTTCAGAGCAAGAGCATCATCCATGCCAGTAACAACTAGTAATAGTTAGAGACCTCCCAAATTCACAATTTTACAATTTTTGCAGAAACAGCGAGTTTGGTAGCTCCCCCATGAAAATCTGCAGGGACCATGAAAAGGTACGAGGACCACAGAAACACTGGAAAACAGTCAGTAAGATGGGGGAGGGCGGGGGGGAACTGAAAACAGAGGTAGAAGCCCTGGTGTGGAGGGAGAAAGCATGGGGGGGAAGAGAAATGGGGGAGAGATTTTCACAGTGGAATGTGATGCCCCCCCACACCATGCCTCTGATTAGCTGAGGGGCCCCAGAAGTCCTGCCCCTCCCCAGAGATTGACAGATGGCCATCTGTCAATCTCCGGGGATGGGTGGAACTGTTGGGGTTCCCTGGCCAATCAGAGGCTGGCGGGGTGGGGGCACTTCACTCCACCACAAAAATGGCAACTGGTTTTGCACTCAGACCACAAAATTGGGGAGCAGCCCCTGCAAATTAGGTAGGTCCCTAGTAATAGCTACAATGTACACATGGCAGCATCCCACAAGTTATATAGCCTAAAACTGACATAAGAAAATAAAACTTAGATTTTGCTCTATATGTTACAAATACTGTAACATTGTTGTTTTAGTGTTGTCTTCATACCTACATTAGTATAAATGTTGACGTAACTGTTAACAAATCTCATAGTACTGACCTCTCTATTGGCCTCAGACATGTTGAATAATTGAAACATCACAGTGAAGGCTGCAGACTGTGGACCTGCCATAAACTATTATGAATAACATTGTGGATAATATGGACTTCAGCTTTTATAGGCCAAAGTGATAAATATACTGTGGAACCAATAAGCAGTAGCACGGAAAAGTACAATAAATTGTGTTGATCAAAGCCACCAATAAATAGCCAGGCCATGGGTGGATAAGTGTTTTTGGGAAAGTACAAATAATAGTTATAAGTAACAGCTGTGGCACCATGATGTTCATCTTTTGATGACAGGTATTGAATTGTGTGGCTCATTAGACTCCTATTAAATAACAATGTATTCTTGTTGACTGAATACAGTAAGGCAGAAATGTATAATCAATTGTTGCCAGCGGTGGCCATTTTAAAGGGACTACAGAAATACAGTCCAAGTAGGAGGCCTCAGAGGCCAGTTTCTGAGTGACCAAGGAGTAAGCCTTTGTAACTGTGGCATATAGCCCAATCGTCAAAGGAAATAAAGTAATTAACATATCCAGCTAACCCAAATTAAAGCAGAGCAAAAGCCCTGGAAGAAGACATTCTAAAAGAAGGCCTTAACATAGATCATCCAGATATATTAGATAAGTGGTTCTCAACCTTTTTAGACACAAGGCACCTCTCTTGAAAACTGAGTGGCACCCAAAAAACTAATTTATTCATTACAGTGCTTACCTCCTTGCAGGGAGGCCAGGCAGTGGGGACAAGGGAGCAGCCAGGAAGGGAGAACCTGAACCTGCCCTTATCTGTTTATCTCCTCACAACTCACGCTTCCTGTGGCACCCTTCAAAGGTTTCATGGTATTCCAGGGTGCCCAGACACCCTGACTGAGAATCACTGCACTAGATCATAACTTCAGTTTGAAAATGTTAGTAAGTAGTGATTGATGTAACCAAATGTATTGGATATAGTTTTACTATAATAGGTATATTTGCATTAAATTTCTTAAATAAGTTGTAGGAACAAAGCAGCCTTGTCAGTAAACACCATCAACCAGGGTATAAAGAAGACAAAGGGGCATTTCTACCTCAGATGTTTACTGAGCTGGGTAATGAGCTCCACAGTAAAATGTCAGGGTCTACATGTACACCCCTATTACGGCACAGTAAACTAATAAACTCTGCCATAGGATAGTACTGCCCAACACAAGTACAATCCTACTGTGGCATTATTTAGTATGCCACAATGCACATGTAGACACTGATGGGGCTGACTGGGGCACAAGGGTGCTTCAGTGAGGGGGCTGCCTGCCAGCAAGCCCCACACTGAAGCACCCTCATGCCCAGCCAATTCCTCTGCAGCACACAAAGCAACGTTGGAGCAGCTGTGCGCTGGCAGGCTGACCTCCTGGATCCCCTGCCAGCCAGGGCTGTTTTGCCCCAGCTCAACATGCTGTAGTCCTAGATACACATATAAACATGGCATCTGAAAGCAATAAGCTCCACTGTTAACTGATCTGGAGTTTACTGTGTCACAGTAAGAGTATGTGTAGACATGCACAGCGTAGTGGAAGACAACATTACGCTATGGTAAGGGAAGGGAATTTTGAGAACTATAACTTTCACAGGAATATAAATCCCAACTAACTGACAGTCCATCAGAGAACTGATTCAATTAAGTTCCAAAAGTTTCAGTGAAACAAAGAAATTTGAATAAAACCAAAGAATATTTATTAGACTATTCTAGTAGCATCTACAAATTAAGGTATAGGCTGAAGGGAAAAATTAGAGAGCTCCACAAATACAGAAAGACCTGCTGCCAGTCTGCATGTCACCTCCCTCCTGAATCTCCCTGGCTGATTTAGGTAAGAATCTATATTATGATGCTGTGGGTGGCTATACAGGCATCAAAATGTGTGCACATTCATGTGATTTTGGGATGTGACAATAAAAAAAGTCAGGCTGTAGATCAGCCTCTTGCCTCTTTTGTGACCTGTGTGATAAAAAGGGAACTAACTGATCTTAATTCTCTGTTTAAAGAATAATAATTTAAGGGAACTATAGCTGTACCTCAATTCTGCATCTGAGCTTGGAAAACACATTGTCATCATATATGGGCTATACATCAACAAAAGCATTATGTACAAGACAAAGGAGATGATAGTGTCTCTCTAATCAGCACTAGTTAGGCCTCACCTAGAGTAGTGTGTGCGGTTTTGTGTTCCACGCTGGAAAAAGGACATAGAGAAGTTAAAGAGGGGCCAGAGGCAGGCAACAAAAATAATAAAGGGCTTGAAAGGAAAGCCATACAAGGAAACATTGAAGGAGCTAGGCATGTTTAGCTTGTGGAAAAAGTGCCTAAAAGAGGAAGCGATAACCATCTTCAAATACTTGAAGGGCTGCAGAGAGGAGAATAAAGACCAATGGCTTGAAGTTGCAGCAAAGTAGATTTAGATATCAGGAAAGACTTCTGGATAGACTGGATATCAGGAAAAACTTCTTCACTCTTAGAATGGTGAGGCAGTGGAATAGACTGCATAAGGAAGTTGTGTACTCTCCATTATGAAAGGTGTTAAGAGGAGGTTGGACAGCCACTGGTAGGGGATGATCTATGTATAGCTATGCCTACGTTCCACTATGGCTATTTCCCTTGCTTCTAGGCTTTGCTGGTTGCTGCATGGGGCTATGAGGGAATTCCCACACCCACCCTGCTACTACAAGTAAGGGGGGGTTTAAGCCTTCCTCAGAAGCACTGGGTTTTGGCCGCTGCCAAGTCTGTGGATTTTGACTGGGGTGTGCCAATACCCCTGCTAGGCCTTAAACCCAGAGGATCCTGGCTAGAGGATCTTACTCCTCTGTTCAGAGCCAGACTGATTGCTATATTTGGGATCAGGAAGGAATTTCACCCCATGGTCAGACTGGTATGGACTGCAGGGGTTTTGCCTTCCTCTGTAGCAGGGGGCATGGTCCTCTTCCTGGGATCTCTCAAGCATATATTAACAACCTTTGCAGTAGGTTGCAGCTTCATATCTGCAGTAGCAGAACATTGGCTGTGTGGTCCCCCCGCTTTACCCAAGGCAAGATTGGGTGTTATGTCTTCTGTTGCATTCAGGCTGACTGTCATTTTGGGAGTCAGATAATGAATTTGTACAGAACGGTACAAATGTCTTGGGCTGGAAGATGGACTATATGACTTATATAAAGATTCCTTCAAACCCTATTTCTCTATGATAACATCAAGTCCCCTTTATGTGGAAAGGGAACTCGGAAGCAGAAAGGGATCTCGGAGTCCTAGTGAGTCGTCAGTGTGATGAAGTCATCAGCAAAGCTAACTGCACTTTGTTGTGCATCAGCAGATGCATGACAAACAGAACCAAGGAGGTAATACTTCCCCTCTATCGGACACTGGTCAGACCACAGTTGGAATACTGCGTCCAGTTTTGGGCGCCACACTTCAAGAGGGATGTGGATAACCTGGAGAGGGTCCAGAGAAGGGCCACTCGTATGGTTAAGGGCTTGCATGCCAAGCTCTATGAGAAGAGACTACGGCACCTGGACCTCTTCAGCCTCCACAAGAGAAGGTTGAGAGGCGACCTTGTGGCTGCCTATAAATTCATCATGGGGGTGCAAAAGGGAATTGGTGAGGCTCTACTCACCAAGGTGCCCCTGGGGGTTACAAGAATTAATGGCCATAAGCTAGTGGAGAGCAGATTTAGACTGGACATTAGAAGAACTTCTTCACAGTTAGAGTGGCCAAAATCTGGAATGGGTTCCCAAGGGAGGTGGTGCTCTCCCCTACCCTGGGGGTCTTCAAGAGGAGGTTAGATAGGCATCTAGCTAGGGTCACCCAAACCCAGCACACTTTCCTGCCTATGCATGGGGTCGGACTCTATCTATTGAGGTCCCTTCTGACCCTGACATCTATGAATCTATGCATCGCTTCCAAGTTGCACACCAGTAGCCTGGAAACAGTGATAGAAAAAAATCCTCAGCCTGTGCTCTGACTACTTAGACCAAGGATAAGAGGTTCAGCAATTCGGGTTTAAACATTAATTTTACAATCTTTTCATCAAACTGAACCAAAAACGATCTACAATATGAAGCTG